AGAGGTCGCGCTAAGTAAACGTTCCACTTCCTACACAGTAGAAAATGCGGATATGAGAATATCTGTATTAATGTGAGGAGTCTACAAATACTATTATTCGTTCCTTCAGGTGTATTATAGTACTTTGGACCTTCTTCGGTTTTGACAAACGCACGTAAGTAAGGTAGATTGAGAGCCTTTAATTTGCAATTCTAATTACTCTATTACTGATCGCTGGTAACGGCCGACGTTTCTCGTTCTTTTCTTTTTTACATGTAACAACTACATCATTGGTTAAGGACTCTCAGAATGTTTTTTTTTTTTAGGTTTTACCATGAGCTGCAGTGCTATTCAGCGTTCTGCTTGGCTAACGTGCGTAACTGTTGCTATCAGCCGCTGCGAAGAGCTCAAGTGTTTCACGGTCAGCTGAACTACTTCACAGAATCGTAGGAAAGATGTAGATGATTTAGCGGAGTCAGCTTGGCGAACTTACGCGAAAGCAATGATTAAAGAGACAAGGCAGTATGATCAACGATAGAACAAAGCCGATCGAAAACGATAAGGAGTCCTCTTTGGTCGCGGCTGGAGATATTTTTTACAGACGAAGCACACTTACGATAACTAATTAATGCAAGTATCCTTAAATTCGATCGACTGGCAGCATGTTATCTCGTCTGAGCAGACTTATAACATACACAGATGAGGCCTGCGAGCGAAAGCGGGGCCCACAACCTTCAGTTGAAGATTCTACATACTTTAAAGGATAGATCTGTGTAGTTCCTTCAGCACACGATGCGGCAAGTCTCGTAACCCGTCGGTTTATTGGTGATAACATACGAAATGCTGACTTAATTGGTTCTATCCCCAAACTGCTCGTTTTTCTGCCTGAAAAATACTTATTGTTAGTGCAGGACTTCAAAAACGTTGTTTCAAATTGGAGATGTAGATGAAGGCCCATGTAGTGACTTGTAGTATTACAAAAATGTTACAACATTGTATAACTGATGGCATATAGATGATTAGATACTCTTATTCAGTCTTCATAATGCCATTTGGCTACACGCGTACAGGGCTTCAAGGGATACCATCCTATTTATTTCTGTATTAAACAGCAATTTCCTGTAATGAGTTTCCTTTAACCGGCAACTTTTTAAAAGTAAGCGTTGAAAATGATGCGGTGTTGACAAAGGACATTTCATATCAATGCTCTGTTATTTTCCTCACAAAATTCTAATTATGCCTTAATGGGATTTTCCAATTCGGAAAGAATTCCGTCTATCAAGTGAGGCTCACGGCAACTCTTTTCGCAAGTGAAAACACTGGTTCTTTCCGGAGTAAGCAACAGAGGTCTGAACAACGACAGCAGGGCTTAGTGCTATTCAATAACTGTCAATAGCAGATCCCTGATGACTTGGATACGAAGGACTCGTCGTACAAAAATGCCAGTCATAAATTGTAACGTATTGCGGTCCGTATCAGTCTGAAGGTGCCGTTGCGTATCTAGATGTTCACGTTTACTTCGGTTGTTGTCGTATGCAGAAAGCAATTATAGATTCAGTTGGAATCACACACAAATCTTTGAGACGCATCATTTTTAATTGAAATATCCCATAAAGACAATGCTTGGCAACATATTGTGAAAACTGAAAACATAATATATGCCCACAGAGGTAACCTTTGCTACCTGTGACATAGAGCAAAAATAGAACTTAAGGAATGAAATGTTAACCACTATAGTGCGTATATAGAAGTTGATATGAATTTGCCAGAGTAATGGTTATGTTGTATATTGCAAGCTGTTTGATGGCTATATTTGGATTCATCTCCGAAACTTGTCTGTTCCATTTATTATAGATTTGCTGACGATACGATGGTGGAAGTCATTAACTTCAACTATTTCTGATACGTTTCGTGGCCGCTGAACGGCACGCCTTGAGTCACACAACAAGTCTCTGGCTCTTCAGCTATGATTCGTTTTGCTAAGCTGCTGTAAGCGAATCCAATGGATTTCGCAGCTCAATAGCATTAGAACCAGTTGAATTGAAACGAGGCGAAGTACTTTCACTTATTTTTTTTACAAGCGCCCTAACAGCTTCTAAATGATCATATACCTACCATTTGCTTTCTCGAGGTAAATCGATCATGGAATATACTTGCTTTCCAGTTGGCCTTTCTAGGGCATCGAAAGCCCCGTGATTACATGTACTTAAATTTGAGGCATAGGCGGATTGAAACCAACATTGAATATCTGTTCGCTTAATCCGCGAAGTAATGAGGCACGCCGACGTAGTCGGATGTTATCAACAGCCTGCGTGTTTTCGATCGGTGCATCAATGGCCCATAAGTCTCTTGAGAAACTCGAGATAGCGGGATGCTTTCATTGCTTCATTTTCATCACTGTCGCCCAAACCTACTTAACACTGCCACAGAGCTCAATTTCCCTCTACGGCGACGCGTTCGTCCCCCCTGGTCCGTTTACGGCTAACAGTGGAGATTGACAGAAGCACACGGTCGCCATAGACGAGACGAGGTTCAAAGTCATCACGGGCTTTTGTCAATTAACTGTCGAATACACCACTCGAATTTCCCATCGGCCTGGAGTCACTTCACGGAAGTATCATTTTTTATTCAGCGTTCACATTTTCAAGACCCAAAAAATAATTCCGTAATACGTTACATATGAAATGGTAGTTCTGGCCAAGAGAGCCCTTGGACTCTTAGCTTTGCTTCTGTGAAGAACCCCTCAATCTAGGCAATGCATGCTATTCTTGCAGGTATCGATACCTAATGACTTCTTCGCCAGACTTCAACAACCCAATCTCCGTTCTTCAAATGTCTGCGTTGTTTACTGTGCTCTCGTTTCGTCTTTCTATCTAATATCTTCACCAATCTTCAATGAATTTCGGCAACGCCGTTACTTCGAGGATCAAACGTTTGACCACTGTGCGTTGATTTTTTTTTCTAAACCTACTTCACCAATTTCTATTCGCAGATTTCTCAAAGACAGCATTTTGCCAGCTAGACATCGTCCTCTAATGGCGCGTAGTTCAGAAGTTACTCGACTTCAAAGCCCGCTGGATTCACCTAGAACTCCATATCGTTTACTATGTCGCAACAATGGGCTCGTATTGTGCCATATGAAATCAATACTAAAGGCGGGCAATCGTATTATAGGGGATCACACTCGTTTCGCACGAATCGATCGTACAGGTTGACATGAAACATTCAGTAGGCATAACGCGCAGCCCCACAAAGTGATCATTGTAAACGATATGATATTTCTTAGCAGAAAAATTGCCAATCGGACGTGAAATCGAACAACACACAAATACGCACAGTCTGGCTTCGAAGAAATCTACAGCCGTGCAAGTCTGAAACGTTCTACATCTAGCCTTGATCTACGGGTATCCAATATTTACGCAAGCGTTGCGTAACGTATCTGCTGTTTCTAAAACTTAGCCAAATCAAGCTACTAATCTATATACAAAACCATGCGTCATGCACGCTTCGATGACCTCTCCTATTTGTTCATTTCATTCGTCTTTGAAAAACGTTAGAGTTCATTATTGAGGTTATTGTCAGCCATGATGGTAATAGTAGTAGCTGAAGACAAGCAGATCGAATTGGCGACCTATGTTTTGTTCTTGAGAGCTGCGGCAGACACAGCACTGATAACGGTACACCGTGACGAGGGACGTTCAGAAAAGAAAACCATACGAATGGAAGCGCCAGATTGACAGGAGAATATCCCGGTTACTGCTATCGCTGCTATGTCATTCCGGAACGCCTCGTTCGTTCCACGGATCCCTTCCATTTTCTTCAAACAAAGCCCCACCGTTATCTAGCACGGTTTCTCTATTTGCCTTTCTTGCAGTTCCTTATCTTAGCTGAGTACTGTAAACTTCATACGCCAACAGCGAAACTGTACAAACAGCAAAGTTATCGTAGTAAGGATATCAAGTTCACCGATCGTCATTTGTACGAGGCTTTTGAAAAAAAAAAATGGCCTCAGAGCGTAAAGTGCAAAAAATTTAAGAACAACTTTAAATGCTACTACAACGACCTTTTATCTGGGCAAATGTGAACGCTAATGGACAATACATCCGGAAGAAGAGAAACGTATTGGAAAGCCATTTTAATCAAAAATTGCGACTGAATCGGCCTTTCGCTACAACCTACACTTTACAATGTAAGGGTCAATGGCTGGCGTATGCGAAATCTCTCCCGAAAAAAAGGACCTAAACTGGCCCACAAACACATCAAATAGACTGCCTTGAAGGCAAAGAGACTTATTAATCATTAAATGAAACTCGAACAGCGCGAGACGTTTAGAATCAAACTACCCTCAGTCCGACTGTCCTGTGGAATCCAATACGTTCCCGCACGAAAGACACGCATAGAACTAGTGGCAACACGTAAATCGCTAGCGAAAATCGAGTGGCGTAGTTTTTCGGCACGATAAAAGGTTCTGAGGTAGTGGTTTCCTCAGATACATCTGACAGAATAGAAGTTTGAATTCGTACTTTTTTAGGTCGAGCTTTGTTGGAACGCTACGTTTTAGCATAGTTGTAAAGGGATCGCTGTGGTAGCACCAACTGTTGCTACCTCGCTTCTTTCAGTGCAATAATCATCTCAACGATTTAGTTGCATACGTACAGATATTAATAGATATTACCGCCGATGTGCGTATGTTTGGTAAAATTCTGGACGGGTACACACCTCAGTACACAGAAAAAAAAAAAACAATATGGCGAATGTTACGCTTGACAAAATATTTTCACTGGCCGGTTACCACAAACGACCTGTTTTTTGCGGAATCTGATTATTCATTGGAACCATCCACTGACAAAGCGTTAATTTATAGAGTCTGTTTCCGCTTAGATTTCCTTCGACACGTTTCACATGTATCGATTCGCAGGGTGTTCGTGTCTGTCTATCTATCTACATATATATCTATACGTATCGATCGGACAAATCAGAAGAACGCACGAACCAACTAGGCTGTGCACTTACTTACTTACCATTGCGTTCGTTTCTGACATAAACGGATTGTTTTCTGGAGCCATGATATTCGCGCGAAGCAGGCCAGTCAGTACGCTCAAGCCAACGGCTTGCACCGCACCGTTGTGATACATCCTCATAAGTTGCTAAAAATGCAAATTACTTGAATAATAGATAATTTTCTATGAGATCATTCATCCATCGAGTTCTTATCAATCCGTCATGGTCCTCGTGTCCGTAGTACACGCAACGGCCGAAACAAGCATTTTACACTTACAGAGTTCTTGCAGTCTTTTTCGCTTTGTCCAATTTCCTTAGAAACAATTGAATTGATCAATTCAAGACTCTTGTCAGTGTAATACGTTGATGCGAAGGAGATATGGCGAGAGACGGCTTGTGGCGGCTATCTAATTGGGATGGAAATGAAAGCCTTAGTGCAATTTCGAACTGAGCATGGCGTACATTCTCTTATTCCTTGCTAGCTGCACGGCATTACTGGAACTATTTATCCGCTTGTCATCGTAGAGCTGCCCGTTTGCTTGCTCAGCCTGTCACAACATCTCTGGCGATGAGAGCAAATCACCGATGGCATTAATAGACAGCAAACAGAGACCAACTGATCACGATCTTCATTTTCCCGTAGTCACAGTTGTGTGCTATCTCTGTGTCCGTTGTTCGCAACCGTTTTGCTCTGTGCTCGGATAGCGCGTCTTTGTCTATGTGACCAGCACCAGTTGCACTTCAGTAGAAGCACTCATTTCTTTTTTTCTGGCTCCGCTGGGCACGCTATGGTTTTGTAGAGCCCCCAATGCTCACTTACTCACTCGCTCATTACTTGCGCCGGCAGCGGGATTCAGCACGAGGACTAATACAAGAACGATGGCAACAGCGGCGGCTGTGGAAACCTCCGCTGCGGCGAGAGTGTCCGTCATTCGTCGCAATGGCGGCGAGGCGTCGCTGGAGCGGAGGCACACAAATACCGTCGTTGCCGCTGCGCGGGTCCGCAGGATACACGGCTGCTGACAGCCAAAGCTAGAAGCAGCAGTAGTAGTGAGTCTGTCATCATCAGCGCAACTGTGGCTGGTTCCCTGTCCAGCCAGTTAGTTTACCCTTGCCTACTACATCTGTGGCAGCATAGGCGACAGTTACCGTTGTCGCTAGCTAGTTTCGTGTGCTACTGTGGCGCCGATATCAAGCGTGTAGCAGCGTGCCGTATCGTACCACTCGGGCCTACGACGAACACTCCTGCCATCGATGGTTCATTGATGATCGAACACGCTGCATGACATTGATTCTCATTCATTGAGAACACGGCTACAACTGACACCTAACCAAATGACCAATAGGCGCTCAGACAACAAGTGCGCGTACTGCGTCACAGGCGACGTGAAATCGCCGATAAAATTCTATCTTCTCAGTTTCACTCGCGTCGACGGCGCACAACGTAAATACACAGTGCGTACATTTACGTCGCGCGCCGAAACTGGCCTCGTAGTATATGTATGTAATCTGTCAAAGGTCACGCACGTATAACCTAAACTTTTGTTGTGGATTACCAAAAGAAACATTTTTCGAAATATGGCCTCCTTGTTTCCTCTCTCTGACGCGATCCCTGTCGCTCTATATATCATTTCCGATACCGCCGACGTAAGGGAGGGCGCAAAATACTATTGTACGTCGTTGACGAACTAGGTTGACGTAGAGGCAAGTTATTGGCAACAAACCTGGCCTAAGAGTGATCCTCTTCCTAAGAAGAATCTCTCAGTAAACGCTAAAAAACTGGTTGAGAAACTCTAGATGCGATTTTCATCTGCTGTTCGATAAGTTAGATGTGTCAGCTGTAAAACGACGAGGCAGGACGGAAAAGAAACGTTTCGGGTCGTGTAATTGAACCACACAAATCGTGCTTATAGCCGTCGCTTAGTTGGCCCTTTTCGTTGGGACAATGTACTTAGTGTCGTCAACCCCTTTGTTTGTTTCCCTTATTTTACGCAAACGGTTCCCTAAATTTCAGATCGATTTATCAGCGTCTAAAATGCCGTATTCATTCGAGCAGTAACTAGATAATTTTATCGAGAATTACTAACTACACGTGAAGACGTAATACCTCGAGTAATAGTACCGTTTGTGATTCACAACTAGTACAAATGCTGGCAAGTAGATTGAGCTCGTTCCCAAGCTACGATCAGTGTCTGTCAATGATTATTCTCTATGCTTTTTTTTTTTCTTTTTTTTTTTTTTATTATCAACCAAACAGACACATTTTAGATTCTCAATTCGAGCCTAGCAAACAACTAAAGGATAGGTTCATCGTGTTTAAAGATTTCACAATGTACGCGTATAGGAAACAAAAATCAACATATCTTTGAAATTCCAACCTTCTCCCCTGTATAGCTAGCTACCTAATATGTGGCCTGATGGATCTCGAGCCGTCTGACCAATTCTATCCGCTATTTCCAACAGTGCAATTTGTCACTCACTCGTACTATTCTCGGCCTACCAGCCTTCTAGAGTAAATTTGACGGACCAAGTCATTCATTCCGTCAAACTGACAAGTACAAATCGGGTCTTTTCTGGCCAGTGCCTAAAGTACAAACATCTATTGGGTCACCGTGTAGACGTCGCAATTGCCCTTTTTGCTGCCGCGGCCATCACCAGCTCGTCATACGTGGCTGGCTCTTCTTTCTCTCCGCGGGCAGTTTCTCTTCGAGTTGTACAGAAATGCTCTACAACGGGGGAACAATGCCGAATATTATATAATCAGCTATAGAATAAGGCCGCTATTCAGTCGTCATTCAATTGAGGTGCTGTGATGCGGCTTCAAAACTACGCAACATGAGAGTCAACTTCAGTTGAGCAGCTGCTACTGTCGCTGTTACTGCTTCAGGCCAGCTCGGACATTTCACTTGATGACTCTTGCATCTTTTGCAGAGCAACAAACGGGAAAGCTCATCCACTACTATGCTAGTACCGCTACGAATTACAGACATGAATGACACATGCTGCCACTGCTATAGTATCGAAGAGGAGAAATAATTTAAAGCGAGAAGTCAATAAAGTTTGGGGCGCAGTCCAGCGCCGACGGATTGTTATTACCACTCTACGACAGTTGCCGGAACGGATTTGTTATCTGGGGTTGACTGAGTGCCTTGCGATGTTGCCATGCTTGATCCCTATCTTAATACAGGGTATCAGTGTACGTTCATTGACGTTTTCTGTACTCCGTTCTCGATTCATTGTTCGTGCACTCGTTGCGAATATCACTTGCGGGGCCGCCAGCAGCTCAACACCTCACTGTCCTTATCATGAACGGTCTATGACATGTAATTGATGGTTCTATCAGGCCGATCTTAAGGAATGGATCTAATGTTACAACTCACTTAGGCGACAAGCGTTTGCCGTGGATCATTTTGTTGGTCGGACGTTCTGAATCTCGCTTCTATCGAGGTTCTATCTATAGGTTACTAATAATGCACAAATAGGTCTGTCTAGTAGCCCTATTTGTAATAACAACGAATGAAACTATAAATGACAACGATATGCACAACACGCACAGAGTCTCCTATTCTACAGTTCACGCTTCTACCTCACTATCGTCATAAGCACTACGACCACCCTATCGGCTGCATCGTTTCGGCCGAAGTGACCTGGCTTAACGAAGGTGTGGTTTCATTCTTTTTTGTTTGCCTAACCGATCTTAGACCCTGCGACCATCGTCGTCAGCACGAACGATTTTCCTAGCAAAGACATTGTCATAGGACGACACTGCACCAACATACAGGCCCTATCTAACTCAATCCTGATTCAGGGACAGAGAAATGAGAGAAGTCCATCGTTAAAGGTCTTGTAAATTGCGCAGATCTACGTCCGTTTGTGTGCGTTTTGGCCCCGAGCCGAGTTGCTGGCTGTGTTTGCTGTAACTCTTATTTTTCTTTCATCTCAGGGTGGAGTAACAAAGCAACTCATGGATTGGCAGTAATGTTGTTCTCGACATGTCCAATTTGGTGCGGCCATAGCGTAGCAAGCGCAGAACGCACTTGGCTGCCAATATCGTTGCCACTACATGACCGCGTCGGTCGCCGTCCCCGTTGCGGCATCGATAATACCGCTACAACTGTTACATTAGCTAGCTGTTAGTCGCTCCTTCCTGTTCGCTTTTACTTGCTTGTGTGCTCCATCTTTCCCTCTTTTGTTGCCTGTTTCAACACTTTTATCTCACTCGACGATTTCTCCCATCAGCTTGCGCATTTTCTGCGCTTGTCTTCTTTCTGCTTTTTATTTTTCTACTTCGGAACAGCGGCTCTGAGGAAGATGATCGACTGACACCATTTTCTACTTTCCAGCGAAAAGTGGCTTTTTTGCGTGTGAAGTGTGCATGTGTGTCTATGAGCGTTTATATATGTATGTACTGAGAAGGAGTTTTACGAGCTATAAGCACAAAGCCAGTCATATTCGACATCTATCTATAAAAGATAGCCCTCTAGCTTCATCTAGGAAGACAACTCGCTCTCAGCCGTCACTTTATAACGTCAATATATATATAGTGTGTTACCAAGCTAGCCCTGTGTAGTTTATCTACCAAACAGTAATACTGACGGACAATGATGCGACGTCTGAGTTCCATTTTCGGGCGGTCCCAGTCTCCAGCTCCCTCTTGGTCGATATGACCGTTTTTTCAGAGAGAGAATACATCGTCCTAGTTCAGTGGCTATAGCAGATAGTGGCTGAAGAAAAAGGAAGCTGTGTGCGAACCAGGCAGGGTAATCATTCATCATGAAGAGTTTCAAAATGATGATTATGATCGATGAAAAACCCCGAAGGGATCATCGGTCCGTAGTTTGTTTGAGCGTTTGTTGTACATGTAGCTGCATGTATTAGTGTACATGTCTAACGTGTTTGCTCGTAGAAGTACCTCAACCTTGTTCCCGCAATGAATGGCTTTTTTTTTAGTTCTCCCTCCTACGTTTGGCTGTTCTTGATGACTTTCACTTTGTTTTGACGGCCATTATTACGCTTTTCCTTATACTGCTCGATTTGTAGGTCCGTCGTTCGTTATCTGCGTCTGTAAAATGTCTCAGCGACTCTTTTGCCGCCCCTACATGTCGGGACTAGTCACCAAAATGGCGGTGGGATGGGGCACTTGATTAAGACGTTAATCGTATGAGACGTAGACGACATTACACAGGTCTCATTAACACTATATTTGTTGTTGTCGTTCTTATTGCTGTTACTTCTATTCTCATTATTGATGGTGTGGTAATGCTCTTGTTAATTTTTGGGTAAAGGGGCGCGTACACTCTGTATACTGTTTAGAAGGATACATTTTATGTATGCTTGCATGAATATCTGTTCGTTGGAGGACGAGCATCGTGCGTGACGATTGACGACGATTTAGTGTCGAGCTAATTAACGGAAAAACACCCCAAACCAAGGATGATTATGGTAAAAAATTCAGTGCAGCCCAGTGTCAAGCTGGTCATTTGACGGGCTCGTCCACTACGGCTTGGATTGAGACGTCCTGCTTCGCCCTTGACAGGCCACAGACGTTTCGATAATAGCTCTTTCTTAACCGCTTATATTAGATGAGCTAGATGATTTTGTCATTAATCTGAAAAAGTAGTATCGAATAAACGCAACGGGTCTACATGACTCATCCCGTAGTGGCAATTTTTTTTTGTATATATATATATATATGTGACTAACAAGGATCCACGCACATGTGTGTAAATCGTGTCGTAGCATCGGCCATGAGTGTTGCTATCGAGAAATTTTTAGCACAATGCCCCACCCTACGTATCTGCTAATATTTTTTGGTTAGATCAGATATTTGGAAGGATCGTTATT